CATGCATGATTAAACAAGAAGGATAATTACAGCATAACTTTTTTGAGGTCATCTAAAGTGACAAGAAGAAGGGAAAGATGTTTCGTTCAATTGCAAGGGAATTATACCAGCTTAACTAAATGTCTTAAATTATAAGCTCCGGGAATGTAGTAGCGTTGGTTTAAATTGTAGAGCTTGCACACAATGGATCTGACTCAACTCGATCCAGATTAGTCTAGGCTTTTGTTAAAGTTCCCAATGTTATTTAAGAGAATTTGGGAGGAAGCTTTGAAATCCTTTAATCTTGAACATAAGCCACTTGCAAAGAAACTCTCATAATCAACCATCTCTAAGGGTAAGCTCAGGTGATAAGAGTATGATGAATAGTAGAAGTAACAAGTTTAAATTTTCTTCACACACACGCATAGAATTCTTATAATCAAAATTATAAGTCACAAGCAAGAACGCTTGGGGTATTAATTATTTCTTTCCTTTCATACCGCTGATTAATTAATTTTGAAGTCCAAATACAATAAGAGAGAAATTAAATAAGGGAGTGGTAATTTGGTACCTTTTGCTTTAATATTCCACTCAACTTGAAAGTCTTGATGCAGTCGTAAACTCATAATACATGTGTTGTATCATTGGAAAATTAGATATTATGTATTTATAAATGTAAGTATATCAATTCAGTTTGCCTTGCATGGGGAAACAAGTTTTTTTTTTCAATTCAAAAAACAAGAATTGATAACAACAGTTTAATCACAGTAATATTCATTTTAATTTATATATTGAGGTTGATTATATATTGATGATTGATTAATATAATTATAATTATAGATATTTAAAAACAGTCACTAAGGTACTCTCAAGGATTGGGCTGAACTTTGGACAGCACACAGGCCCAAAACAAAAAACTTGGAATAGAACAAGCTTGCGTTTCGAATAATGGCCCAATATGTATAATGGGTATTGGAAACTGATATTTCTTAAAAAATATATATAATGGGCAACTTTTGGGCCAAAGCCCAAAAATTGGCACGGCTACTTTTTTTTTGCTAGAGGAAATCTTAAATCTAGAAACACACGTTTACTTTATTTATAAAAATTATACAATGTGACTCATTGATCGTTGATGCTTGATGCATAAGTTAAAAATGATAAGAAAAATAGTAAATCAGTAGGAACATCGAGCTATGGCTTAAGACTACAATATGAAAAAAGAGTATGAACGTTAAAATGACTTAAATAACATAACGTATTGTTTTTTCATTTCTTTTGTCTTTTTGGAATGAATAGATATTTTTTCATAAGTTCTTTTCTATATATAAATTATGAATTCTTATTAATATATATTAAATTTGCATAGGTTGCAACTTTGGGACTTTTTTTTTTTCCAAGATAAAATGTTTCAATATCAATTGAAGACCCACACACGATACATTCGAAGGCGTATGTATGAAATTTCTTATTGATGTAAGAACTTCATTACTTGGTAGTATTCTATGCTACATCTCATCCTTATCCTTATTATAAAATATTTCTAATAATATTTTTACGCATCTTAAAAAAATTTATTATTAAACTTGTTGAAAAAAATTCAAAAATTCTAATGTTACTTATATCAATGAGATGAATGTGAAACTTTGATTACAATTTACGGGTTCATTTATTAAAATTTGGAACAACAAAAATTAAAAATCATTAGATATTTTTGTATAATACGTTATACACTTTTTTTGGCCGAAAAATCTTCTAGAAGACACCTCATGGTAAGGACGTGAAGAAGTGATAATTTTAGAGGAAATTTAAGCAAAGCTGACTCTAATAAGCTGCTGAGGTTTGAAGCCCACTTCTGATGAACTTTACAAGTAGTTTACAGAGGAAAAAATGCTTGGCTAACGTTAATGGGCAATGGTTGGTTTGCACCGTCAATTTCTTGATTTTCACACAATTATTCCTTTTTTTAGTGTTTTTTTTTTTTTTGGGTAATCTTTGACATTATCAGCGTTATCTTGGTGGTGGTGGGGACCATGGACGGTGAGAAGGGAGAAGGTAGGAACTGGCACATTGCCACGTCATGGTTAAGGCACACGCTGATGGAGAGCGAGTGGGGGAGAAGGGAATCAGGGATAGAGAAGGAATCGTCGAGAATCGAGAAAGGGGAAAAGGTTGGTGAGAAAGAAGCGAAAACGAACAGTGGCCATTGAAGGAAGCGAAAGGGCAAGTTGGAGACAAATCTCGGCCAGAATCATACGCGACGTGACGCACGCGTGTACGCGCTCTTCAAAGATTCCCTCACTCGCAACGCCCGAGGTATATTCTGTGGATATGTCACCCAATTCGTCAAATCATATCACATTGCCCTCATCAGTATTCCTTCCTTGCCTTGCGTCTCTCACAACCATTTTTTTTAAATTCAAAATATTCTTACTAAGAAAAATATTAATCTGGTCCTTGATAGTCCTTTCAGTCCTTGTAAGATAAATTTTTTTCTATTTATAAATTATATTATTAAATTTTTATCAAAACTTTTTTATTTTAACTTCTATTAAATATTAAAAAAATATATATTATTAAAATATGTATATTTTATTAAATAAAAAAGTATGTATATTTAATATGAGCAAAATTAAAAATTAAATTTTTAAATGAGGTTAATGAGTTTTAATATTTTTATTGGTTCCAATAAAACATATTATAAGTGATTTAGAAACAAGATGAAACAAGTCTAAGAGAAAATTCAAATGCTTACTCCCTCCGTTAAAAAATATAAGATATTTTTTGAGAAATTTGATGTTAAAAATATAAGGCATTTTTACTCTTTTGAGGTGAAACTATTATCTTTTTTTAAAAAAGTGTCCCTATTAATGGATGACTTTATATTTATTGTAAGGTATTTAATAAAGATAAATATAAAAAAATAGGATTAGTTTGAAAGTAGGTAACTACTTTATTGAGAGATAAGATTTAATTAAAAATATTTTATATTTTTTAACAAAGATAGTATAATACAAAATGAAATTGGAATAATTACAGCTTGTTTTCCAATTTCACTCTTTATATATTTATTATTATATAAACTTCTAAACAAAAATTTATTATAATCATCAATTATAAAGTTATAATAAAAAATAAAATTTAAAACATATTTTTTTTACAATTTTAAAATTATAGCTAATATTTTTTAATAAACATAAAGTTTTTCGTCTTACATCAAAGGGAGTGCCAAATTTTATTAGAATGGTTTCCCACCTTCGAAGTTGGAACCGCCAGTATCACACTGTCACCCATCAGACTCATCTTTATTCATTTAATTCAGACAGCCTAAAATGTTAAAAAAAAAATACTTAGGAAGAATTTCAATAAACCACGTAGGATTTAATTTCAAATGAAAATTAATAGAGTATAACTTAAACATACATTGCTAGATAAAGGAAATGAATTGAAAATATATTGTATTAGGAAATGATCAAAACACATTTATTTTTAAAAATATAAAGTAAAATTATTAAAATTCTAATTTAACTTATTATTTTACAAATACGTGAATTTTAATTGATTAGCAAAACTTGCTAATAATACCTTTGACATAGTTAATTTTATAAACTTATTACAAGTGAACTTGTTAATATCTTAATATAACTTTCGTTCTAGTAAATACCTATATGAGAATGAAAACCATTTAAGAGTACCTTCTTGATATTAAATTTCGCTGACTTGTTAACACTATGAAACATACTTGGCAATACTGGTTAAAAAATGAAGGTATTGTATCAAAAAGAAATAATAGTATGTTTGAATTAATTTAGATTTAAATTTAAATCAAATTTTTCATTGAGATACACAAAAATTTATGATCCAAATCCATTAAAAATTATAACTTATTTATGATTTCAAATTTTCTTTATATAATAATCATTTGAAATTTTAATCACTCCAAACATTTTATTGTATTTATATTTTTATTATTGATATTTCTATGACTTTAATATATTTTTTTCATCTCTTATCCATTAAAAAATAAAAATAAACTTATTATTTTTAATTTTTTATTTTCATTTTAAATTTCAGTTCATCTCTCTTTTTCATTTAAATTCTTTTAAATGACCTAAATAAGGAATTTTAAATGTGAGATTTAAAATGTAAGATTTTAAATTTAAAATTTAAATTCAAATTCATCAATTTAAACACCACCTAATAATATTTTAGTCATTTCTCATCAAAATATTTTCAAAATAGTCCCTTATTTCAGGTTCTCTTAATCTTGATTTGAAATTAAACCTCTGCACAGATCATTTACTGAAATTCTCCCCATTATTTATAATTTATATTATACCTAATTTATAGCCTTAACATGATATCAAATTTCGATTTATTTTTTATATCCAAAAATCATATATATTAAATGAGATTTGATTGTTAGTTTTATTTTTTATAATGTAATTACTAATTATTTAAAACCGTACATTTTAATTTTTCTTAATTATATATTAAAAGAATAAAAAAATACTTCTGCATCATATTATACAACGAATAAAATATTAGTGGGCATGGATATAAAAATATAATGTACTAACAAGTTACGGCTAAAAGAAGATAATATCTTGCATAGAAAACATAAATGGCAAAAAATGACAAATATAAAAAAAGACAATAAAAGAAATAACGATAGAAAAAGAAAGGGGTGAGAGACCGTGAGCTTCAAGTTTGAACTTATCTGATGAGATGAGAATGAGGAGTAAAGTGGTATGAGCTGGTGCTGAAGAAAATCGATGACGCCTGTCACGGCTACAGCCACCCCACAGTGTAAAGTAAAAGCTAATCAAAACCAGACCTAGAATATTCATCTCCTCTCTCTCTCTCTCTCTCTCTCTCAGAAAATTATTAGTATTATTTTAAAAAATCCATCAAAGATTCGTTTTGTACGCGACGCCCCGACCTTGATATTTTCCCGAGTTCTTCTTCTTTACCCTCATAATATTCTCTCTCTCTTTTGTTCAAATTTTTTTTTTCTCGTTTTTTTATTTTAATTTAATTGATTGGCTTCCCTTCGATTACAAGTTTATTATTATTCCCAATTTTGATTCTACTTAGATCCCCTAATATTCTTTCTCTTTGCTTGTTCTTAAGTGGGTCGGATCTACCTATGCTTGCACAAAACGCCATTCTTATTTATTCCTTCTTCTTCCTTCTCGCCCTGATTTTCCTCCAAAACCACTTCTGATCCCTTGAGTTTGGACTTTTCTTTTCATTTCTCTCGAGAAAGAGACAGAGAAAAAGAATGCAGCGTCAGAAAATGGGGTTTCGAGAATACATCGAAGCATTAGTAGAAGAACGCCGGAAAATTCAGATGTTCTCTAGGGAGCTTCCGCTTTCACTCGAGCTTGTCTCGCAAGGTATATATATAGACCATCGTTTCTGGATTTTCCATGGCTGATTCTCGTTTTGGTTTTGATTTTGATTCTGAGTTTTGTTTTGTTTGTTTGTTTTTTTTTTTTTTTGGGGCAGCCATTGAAGCTTACAGGCAACAACTATCTGGAACCATGGAGTATAATTTTCAGGGACAATCGGATTGTTCGGAGCAGACGTCAATGGAAGAAGGTCCTGTTCTTGAAGAATTCATTCCCATTAAGAAAAGGTCTTCCCCTGATTGTGACGAGGAGGAGGATGAAGATGAACAACACTCGCATAAGCCGAAGATCTTCAAGGATAACAATAAGAACTCTGATAAGAGAAAATCCGACTGGCTCAGATCCGTCCAGCTCTGGAACCCAGATCCCCCAACCAAAGAGGTATTATTCTAGAATTTTCCTTTTAACGGAAAATAAAATCTCCGATGGACGAGATAATTCCGGTGTTTGAGGTGAGTCTGGGAAGTGAAGTGAATTGAATCTCTGTTTTGTGCAGGATTTGCCCAGAAAAGCTACGGTGCTGGAAGTGAAGAGAAATGGAGGTGCGTTCCAGCCATTTCAGAGGGAAGACATTCCTGGAAAGAGTAACAATAACAACACATCGGCTGGTAAATCCGGGTCTCCGCCTCCGGTGGTGGCCGCAATGAGCTCCACCGCCGGCGGGGGCAGCAGCAAGAGATCGGAGGAGAAAGATGGGCAGGGTCAGAGGAAGCAACGGCGGTGCTGGTCACCTGAACTACATAAACGCTTCTTACAAGCCCTTCAACAGCTAGGCGGCCCAGATTGTGCGTTTTGTTGTTGTTGTTGTTGTTGTTGTTGTTATCATCATCATCTTAGTCACTTCGTATTACCCAAATTATCAGTTTTCTTATCGTATGCCCCCCAAAAACACGTTAATTCATGTTTTCTGGCCGTGTTTGTTTCAGCTGCAACTCCGAAGCAGATCAGAGAGCTCATGAAGGTCGATGGCCTCACAAATGATGAAGTCAAAAGCCACCTGCAGGTTCGTAATCGTAATCTAACTCTAAGGACATATTTGAATTTCAGTAGAGTAAAATTGATTATCCCATTAGAGTTTCAAATAGTTTTGGTCACAGTGAAATTTCAGAGCCTAAACAAAGTTTATGAAAAACGGACTTTTGAGGAATGATAATTGATCATTGATTACAAGCAAAGACGGATTTACTTTTTTTTTGGGAGGGGGGGGGGGGGAAGGGCCCCATGGATCACACAGCCTTTGGTAGAAGTTTTATTTTTTTCTTTGCAAAATAATTTAAACTAGATTTTAGCCCCCGCATTTCTTGTTCTATTTTCAGTTTGGCCACCCCAATCATGAAAGTCTAGATCCGTCCCTGAATTTCCAAGGGTATCCAAACACACCCTTCAATCCATATCATTGGTCAATTTCTTTAGTTTATCTATGTTAATTTATATCTTTACATTTAAAGATGCTGTGTATGAATCTGAATGTATTTCATGTTGATTGTGTTCAGAAATTCCGGTTGCATACAAGAAGACCAAGTCCGATGATTCACAACAATGCTAATCCACAAACAGCTCCTTTTGTTCTTGTTGGGAACATTTTTATGCAACCTCCAGAATATGCTGCAACATCAGGTGAGGTGAACACGGCTGGAATTTATGCTCCGGTGGCGGCTCCTCCCCCGCAAGTGGCGGTTCCTCCCATGCCGGGGGCAGGTCCGGCGTTTGTTAAGAAGGCGAAGGTCAAGCAATTGGAGCAGGGTGAACAGTCACATTCAGATGAAGAGAGGGTGAATCACAGTGAAGGAGCTGTTCATTCTAATTCTTCTCCTGATTCGTCATCTTCCACACACACCACCACCTCTACTTCTCGTGGATATTAGGTTTGGGATGAAGATACTGTGCAGGAAAATAAATAAACAAAAAAAGAATCAATTTTTGTAATCAGAAAATTGTAGTAGAGAACTCCATGTGGGATACTCTCTTTTGGGTTGGTTTCTTTATCGTCTTGTTTCTTCTTGTGGGGTTTAAATTATAGAGGTGAAAATACAGGTGACAGTTTTGTTGTGGGATGTGTAATGTACGTAAATTAGAATACTTCATCAGATCTTTGATAAATCTTTTGGCAATTCTAACTGTTCTCTCTTCTCCTTTTTGTATTGTGTTGGGTCGTTTATTTGTTTATTTATTTTTATATGATTAGCATTATTCAATTTAATAATAAATTATTTGTTTATTTATTTTTCTTATTTCAATTCAGTTTTTCGTTAATCTACTACTGAAACTTCAAGCTGAGCTGCTGCTTTCTTTTCATGTATTGCGAACGATTAAGTAGCATTTAGATCAATTCATGCACAGTGAAAAATAACTAAGCGCGCGATGACAAATTTGGTAAAACACAGTAAGTCGACGAGTTTGAGTTCTTCTGTCTATGTACTTTTTCTTTAATTCGACTTATTATTATTATTATCATTATTATTATTATTATTATTATTATTTCTTTTTACATCAAGTCAAACTCACCCACGCTTTAACATTTTCCAGCACACGAGTGACTAGCAAGGCAAAAATAGAAGGGGGATGACAACAAAATATCATTAAAATAATAGCTTATCTCAAACGAGGACCACAAAATGTTCTAATTATTTTGAAATTACTTAGGACTTTTTCGGGATTAAAATTTTCATGAAATGACAATATTGTCCTTTCTCTCTCCTGTTGAGCTCTGCACCTGTAGAGAAATGGTGGATCTGAAAGGAGGTATTTGATTGCCATTAGAGGGGCTTGGAGTTGCTCCTTTAAAACCCATCATTTCTCTGCAAATGTAGAGGTCAATTGGGGGAGGACAACATTGTCATTTCATGAAAAAAATTTAATCCTAGAAAAGTCCAAAGGCACTTCAAAATAATTAGAGCATTTTGTGCTCCTGAATTGAGATATGCATGTTTTAGTAGTATTTTATTGTCATTTTTTTAAAATAAAAATGGAGAATTGATGGCATGATTTATTGCTGTGTGCATTGATGAAGAGAAACTTATAGCATTTATCTCTCTCCTAATTTCATGCAAAATTATTTCAGAAAAGTCATGCTTTTCTTAAGACTAAAACTAGAACAATTGTTGTCCTTGATTTCGATTAGAAGAAAATTAAATTAAACAAGAAAACCATATTGTAGAAAAATTAAAAAAAATATAGTAAAGAAAACTCCATAAGTTATGAATATTATCATTATTACGAGGATGTTTATTAATTCATCATATCTTTTTATATGTCTATTATTTCATAATATCTCCTACTATTATCAATTTGTATATTTTTTATAAGATTTCAGTTGTATACCTTTGCTTATAAATATACAGAAGATATCTCAATTATATTCTATATACTGAAGTAAGAAAATGCTCACTTCTCTCATTCTCTCCTTCTAGTATTGTTATTTTTTTATTTTCTTTCCATCAAAACCAAGTCTTATTATTATTAAAAATGGAAAATATGTGAAAAATATTGATAAATCACGTTGGATTAAAGGTGAAATAATTGGTGGATTCAAATAATGAAGTGGAATTAAAGTAGGTGGGGGCAGGCAGGGGAATCTTGAGGGGGAATCCAAGAATATCCGAAGAGAATATACAACGCACCAAAAACGCATGTGTTGATTGGATGCAATGAACAAGACAAACAATAAGTTGCTCCCTACATTATCATTCTTTAATACTTATATAAAATATTTTTAATTAAATTATATAAATTAATAAAAGTTAATTATTTAATTAAAAGTATAATAATATTTTAATTTGTCTCTAATTATTATAAATAAAAAAATAATTTTTTTAAAGTAAATTAATTAGAGTACCTATATTTTTTTCTTTTCAATTTAATAAGAGTATAATAGGTCATTTATTAAAAAAATGTTAATAATTTTTTATATTTAAAAATAATTTCTTTTTAAAAAAATGTCTTATGTATAGGAATGAAGGGAGTATGTGTCTCCCTCACCTCCTCTCTTGATATGAGGCAATGACCACCTGCCCAAATTAGCTAGTACTCTTTTTTATGTATTACTTCTATCCAAATTATATTTTATTTATTTTTATTTATAATTTATTTTCATCATGTGTTTCTAAAATAAAAAAATTTAAAAATTAATAATTATGTCTAAAATTTCAATAAATTTTTAAATTTATTTCTATTAAATATACATAACTTGAAAATAAAATACTTAAATATTTAATAACTTTTCATGCATTTAATAGTGGCAAAAGGATAAAGATAGGCACAAAAATTATAAAAGAATCAAAATAAATATTCTTTTTCTTTTCTTTTTTGATAGTGTGGAGGTATTTTTTTTATTAAAAGTAATTCGAGATATGGTCAGGCATGGCATCTTTTCTAGTGTGGAGTCGAGTAAATAAGATATGCTCTATTTATAATCATGCTTGTGTTTGTTAAAAAGATTTTAAAATGGATTATTATTTTTTAATTATATAATAAATTGAATTTTTTTCCATGATAGTATCTTTACATAATATTTACTCAATTAATAAGCCTCATTCATTGCAACCAAGTCCTGCTAAAATAAAATACCGATAATATCTCCAATATTTGGATAATTATAAATAATGATTAATATATATATATATATATATATCTAATTATAATAATTTTTAACTACAAAAGGTAATTTTTAAGAAAATATATTTAAAAAAAGTGGGACCAGTCAGAATTTTTTTTGGGGCCAAAGGGACCGGTCAGAATTTAAACGTTATAGTTATAAAAGAAAAGTACTCTCACACATGCCATTAAAGTTTTGTTTGTGTTTCTGCAACCTCATAATTTCTTTTGTCGTTGCTTTTTTCTTTCCTCGTTTTCATTGAAAAAAAATTAAAATCTCAAAATCTCAAAATTACATTCCATGCATTTACAATGAATCCCTATCTTTTCTTGGCCTGATATTGATAGTCTTCAGTATATGTATTGTATTTATGTGCGTATAGAATAAAATTAAAAGATTATTTGGAGTTTGGATCCTATTTGAGAGGACTGTTAAAATTTGATTCGATTGCTAATTGCCATAATAAAAATAAATGTTTTAAGAAGTTGGAAGATTTCTTAGAATCTTCTACATGAACTTGTTTCAAGGCACAACTCAGACCGCAGAGAATGGTTCCCAGAAATTTCTCTTGTCTTTACTCGACCTCCACGTGATAAACGAATTAATATATTATGATAAACTTGTTCATTTCTTCAGAAAAAGCACCAATGGCGTATTCGACTATTTATATATCTATATCTATAAGAAATATTTAAATAAATTGAGTGCCTCATATTTTTATAATCTGTTCAATTAAAAACTTTAAGTAATTTAATTAAAATGTCATATGATATTTTTTAAATTAATTTTATTTTTATAACAAATTACATATTTGATTTCTTGCTTTTTCTATCTCTATTATCACTAATATTAGAATTAATTTATATTTAATATTATTTAAATGCTATATTTTTATTGAACAAACAGGTCTATCTAAATATTTCTCCTATATCTACATTTATATATATATATATATATATATTGTGATTATTACAAACGGCATGACCTATCTTAAACTCTATTCAAATCATATGAATATATAACGTTAATTAATTTACTTTTTCACTCAAAGGTAGAATATTTTAAAATCAATAGAATTTACATATTTTTTTCGTTAAAAAATATAAGATATTTTTTAAGAAGTTGGATGTTAAAAAATTTACGATATTTTTAATCTTTCGAGGTATAATTATTACATTTTTTCAAAAGTACCTATATTGATAGTGACTTTATATTTATTATAAGGTATTATAAATATAAAAAAATAGAGTTAATATAAAAGTAGGTAACTATTTTATTGGGGTGAAATTCAGTTAAAAATATCTTATATTTTTGAACGGAAGGAATAGTCTATTTTATATTGAAATTAAAAATAACTACTTATAAATTATTAATAGTAAAACTAATTTCTTACATTTCACATAATTAAATTTATTTCCTTTCAAATCCTTTAAGCATCATTCCTAAGTTCAATTTTGGAGATATATATGGAAATTATTGTTTGAAAAAATGGCAACACTTTAAATAATACTCAAATTTTTAAGAGATTAATCTAATATCTGTCAGCTATCATTGTGGAAATACCGTGGAAGCCAAAAAAAAAAAAACATTATACTTCCTTGTTTATTAGTATACATAATTTAAGAAATCATCATAGTTTACATTGGTAAGATATATTTCTTATCCTCTATATTTTCCTTTCATTAATAAAAAATAATAAAAATTTTAGTTTCTTAAGTTTACATTAATTATTGATTTAATTCTTAAAATTTATTTTATATCAACTCAATTTATTAAGTTTGTGATGAAATTTGAGATTATAGTTAATTAGGATAATTAAAATTTAAGACATTAAAATTATTCTTTAAGAATATTTAAATAAAGATATTTATTTATTAGAATCATTATTATCTTAGATCTTGAATTAGATTTGGAATCATATTTTAATTATTATTATTATTATTATTATTTTATTCTATAACGTTAGGTTTTTATTTATATTCAGTTTTTAATTAACATTAACATTGAATGGAGTTTTTGCCTGTGCTGTTTCTCTCTTCTCCTATTCTCTTCCCTCTCTTCTCCTCTCCTTGTTTCACATCAGCTTGCGTCAGCCATCAATCTTCAAAAGGAAAAAAATAATAAGAACAAGAAAATAAGAAAATAAGTGAAAGGCAATAATATATAAGAAATAAATTTAATTTATTCTCATTTCACCACATACATATATTAAATAATAATATATTTTACATATTAGATTAATTTAAAAAAAATTATATTTCAAAATGTAAAAAATTATTTTGACTTGAAAAAAATATAAAAAACTAGGTTAATAAAAATTAAATTTAATAAACTAAAAATTTGATTATCGCAAATACACCAAATACAGAGCGTAGAGACAAGTACAGAATGGTACATTCATTGCAAGTAATTCATATTTCAATATACAAAGAACCCGTCATATCTATATGATGACAGCGTGTGCGTACAAAACACGCTCTTCGGTCTTTGTCTGATCGTACACAATGTAATGCCGCTTTCAAATTACAATTTTATTAATT